GGTGATAAAACTAGAAGATATCGTTTGCTACAAAGTCAATTTCTGTTTCCGAAGGCCGCTGTGGTTTCCGCACCAAAATTGTAAGATGGGCTTGTCAACATAGCAATTCGTTGGGAAATTTTATTTTACTACAAGGAGGGGGAGTAATCCTTCCCCAGTGAAGAGTAATTTTGAATCAAGCCAAACCTTTTTTTTACTAATGAAGTGTTTTATGGTATTATTACTCGTCCTTCCATGTGCAATTAATCGACAGATTTAATATCATCACTACAGCCTTTCACAAGTCCACTGCTGAACAAAGGCTTCCCACAAGGAATGCCACAAAGCACAGTACGGAGCCACCTTTATCCATCGACTTCCTGCATACCGTACCAGGTCGTTACTCCATCTAGTGGGAGCCCAAGTAACATTTTTTCCGAGCCTAGGTTGTAAAAAATGCCTTTAGGGTTTAAAAAAGTTTTAAAAAGGTTAATGCTTTGCTATCTGGTCATATCAAGTACTTGTGAATGATTATTAAGCCCTAACACTAATTGTTTATAATTACAACCTTAAAGCTGCTGACAAGAGTTTAAATTAACGTTATTTTGACTTGTGTTTCAAGAGCATATAAACCTAGGATCATAAAGTTGTTATTTACTCCTTATTAAGTTCTAAAAAGGCTAGCATTTTACTTAAGTAAGATCCAAAGTAGATTTAATTAAAAAACCATGTTTATGTTTGAATAACAAATCGGTCTTATAAATTTGCGGCCGAAAAATATTTGCGCCTCGGCTGAGACGTACGAAATTCTTTATTATTAAAATTTTAAATATAAAAAATCCGCATTATAATATAAAGCTTAATTAAAAATGGTTTTGGGAAACATGGACAAGTTGGAGTAAAGGAATATCTTTTACTTTGTTATAGATACCTGCAGCTACTTTACAATTTATATGTTTGGTTTTAAATGAAGTTTGGATTTATTATTTTTTTATTTCTATTCTATTTTCTGAAAGGGTCCTAGGAAAGGAATTATCCACCGCGCTGCCCCACTGCGTGTTGGCGAACTTTGCATGTCTTCGAAATATTTTTTTTCTTATTTCTCAGACATGCAGGTTTCCTCACAATGTTTTCCTTCACCACTGAGCACATGGTAAATCAACACTTAAAATTGCAATTATAATATTATTGGTGCCGGCGAGGATCGAACCCGGTTTGCTCGCACACTGTGAAAAATTTTAGCATGCGCTAACCATCTGAGCTACCACGGCTCCTCTCCTCTCGAGCTAGAGACTTTATTTTATTTATCGTCAGGCCTGTTGGTCTAGTGGTTAGTGACCCTGACTGCTATGCCGCAGGTCGTGGGTTCGATTCCCACCCAGGACAAATGTTTGTTTGATGAGCACGATCATTTGTTCTGTGTCTGGGTGTAATTTATCTATAATATTTATGTATTTAGAAATATATAAGTATGTTTATCAGTTGTCTAGTACCCATAACACAAGCTCTGCTTAGCTTGCAAATGTTGGTCGCGGATATTTTACCTGCACTTCAAAATTTTATTGTGTGAGTATTTTAAACTATTTTTACGGATTTGATGAACCATATTAAATAAAAAATAGTCTCCTATCTTTCTCTCTATGTTTTGATCTCCTAAAACGAGTTTGAGTTGGTAAAATCAAGGCAAACTTAGGGTAGGGTTGTCAATTATTATATTGATAATAAAACTAGTGAAATTCCGCGGTTTTATACGTGCAAGCGTGAACGTAGTTAGAACATAATATAACCTTTATGTTTTACATAAATATCCTAAAAAACTTATTATTTTAATATTTTACTAAGTACCTATAAAATTAACAAGTTTATTGCATTTTTATTTCAGTATTTTTTATGCAATTTCTTTATCTACGTCTATTTTTAAGAACCTTTATTTAGTCTGAATCATACATAACACTATATTACTGATTTACTTACTTACACGTAGTTTTCTTTTTTTGCAGTTACAAATATCTTGTGAGGTTGAAAAAGGCAGTAATGAAAAAATAATAAGAATAATAATAATTGACGTCAGCCACTTCTTTTCATAAAAATTTCAGATCATGGTCCATTAGGTTGCAGCTTCACCGAACCACAACTTATAATAATAATAATAACTAATAATATAATATTGGGTGCGTTTGGCAGAAAAAAGCGCTAGCAAGCGCTTATAAGCGCTGAAATAGTTTTCGGCCAGGACACGATTGCTACTTCAGTAGCGCTGACACAATCCGCCATTTTGCTTATTTAATTTGTTTGTTTTGAAGTAGAGTTTATAAGTTGTTTTGCGCAATATTCGTTTTAAGTAATATAATGACATGAATAAACATATACATGTTATTAAAAATTCATGATTGGTAAGTTTTTAATATGAATACTTTACAAACATATATTTAAATTAGGTTAGGTTCCCCGATTAAAACTAACATCGTGTCCTGGAGGAAAATAGCTACTTACGATTTGACAGCGCTTACCGCTTACGATCGCCATTTTGCTTACAATCGCTTGCTAGCGCTTTTTTCTGCCAAACGCACCCATTATTTTATTTTATTGATATTTATGTAAATTTATCTTTTCATTTTAATTTATAATTTTTATATATTTAAATATTTATAGAACCGAACCAGATGAGAAAATTATACGGCTCCAACGATTTTAGCGACGAACGCTTGGATTTATTTTTAGAAAATGTCTTTTTGTCCATGTTTTCAGGCAATAAAAAAACTGCTACAATATAAGAAGGTAAATTTCGACAAATCACTGACGGTCGTTATAGCTCAGGTGGTATGTCGGTCGGGCGTGATATCGGAGTTCCGTGAGTCGCGTTTTGGCTTTGGTCCCGCTTTTTTTTTTCCCTTTTTTTTTCAAGTTCCCTTCTTTTGTGAGAAAATCTATTATTTCAAATCCTTTTTTTCAGTAATTTTTAAAAATACGAAAATTTTAATTTTAAAAATTTAAAAAAATATATCTATTTAGTTTCTAATGCTATATTTATTATTTTAATAATTACCTACCTAGTAGGTAAATATTAAAATAATTTATGCATCATTGTAAACAGTAAATCTCCCTCAAACTCAATTTACTAATATTGTTCCTAAATAAGGAATAGCAGATAAAAGATTAGTAGGTAATAACTATTGCTCCTCAAAATTATATTTGACCTCAAGGTAAAACATATCCTAAAATTCAGTAGCTAAATAAAATAATAATACCTACTATTCAAGTATATTTTCAATATGTAAGTAAATGAAAATAACAAAAATGAAGCACCATTACCATGTAAAAGTTCGAATCCATAATTAATATTTCGACAAATATAATTTACACTATAAAAAGCTAATTCAATATTAGCAGTATAGTATATAGTTAAAAATAATCAAAATACATACATACATAAACACTCACGCCTGTCACCCAGAGGGGTAGGCAGAGACTACAGACTTCCATTTAGCACGATCCTGACATACCTTTCTCGCCTCTTCCACATCCATATACCTACGCATACATGCTCGTCGGTTAAGGGTACTCTTAATTTGGCCCATTTTTAGTATATCGCCAATTTGGTCGACAAACTTCCGCCTAGGACGTCCCTTTCCGACTCTTCCATTCACTTCTGCAACATATATTTGCTTTGTCAGTCTTTCCGCATTCATTCTTTCTACATGACCAAACCACCGAAGCATTCCTTTCTTAATCCTGGTCATCGCATCATCTTGCAAACCACACTCTTCTTTTATCACACAGTTTCTCACCCTGTCTAACATACTCCTTAGCGACCGCATTTCTACTGCATTTATTCTACTCTCGTGCTTCTTCTGCCACACCCAACTTTCACTACCATACGTTAAAGTAGGGACTAATACAGCACTGTGAACTGCCATACGTGCCTTTTTTGACACATTCTGACTTTTCACAATAGAGTGTAGAGCCCCATTTACTTTATTTCCTGAATTCACTCGTCGTTCAATATCCTTATCATATCTCCCATCCCTGCTGAATACACATCCTAAATATACGAACTCATCCACTTGCTCAATTAACTAACAGTATCAAAATAGTCATTTTTATTAATTAGATAATATATTAGAATACATAATTCTAATATAATGCAACTAATATACCGAATAAAGAAAATTAAAATACATTTATCATTGTACGCCGTGTGACACGGCGTACAATGATAAACGTATTTTAATACGGCCTACTACGTTCTACGTTCTACGGCCCGTGTCTATTTCCATAGAATAGTTCATTGACATTGAAAAAATAATACTACGTTCGTAGCAGTAGGTGGCGTCTTTTGGCGATTTCTTACGCGATATCGCACATACGTTGCTATAACGTCACTTATGCAATTTTTCTCAAAACTGAACTGAGTATGAGAAAATACACCTAATCTACCTCTTTACTTGGTGTGTTATTGTCGCTTGTGTAGTACGTATACTTTTCGTGTGAGGGCACTAATGTCGTTATGGTTTTGGCGTGAATTTGAATGCCACTGGGAGAAACAACGTTTCATTGGTCAGTTGCGCACGGCATCCCGCACAAGAAGCAGTCTCCTGGAGGTACAACGTTACTAATGTAATTGTGACAATTTATTTTTATGTTTTTGGAGTAATAACGACACTTATTATAGTTGTGTCGTTTGTATCTTGAAACGACAATATAACACTTGTGTAAGTAGTGACGTTGTTTCCCCAATATTTGTATTTTATGGTATAAAGTTAACGTAAGATTAATGGTTGTGACAATATTGCTCCAGTATAGTAGGATTAATGTTTTATTTTACAATTATTTTATATTTTTATGATAATTGTTCCGACATGATCAATTGACTCCTTTAAGCGATCTAATAAGTAATTATTTTGTAGTAATTAAAAATTATAATATCGGTAAATCATTCGATCATATATTTTGTTATTATCACATTTTTGTTTACCTTTTTGTTATCATTATGTAGGTATTTTATTTCTTTCAGATCTGAAATGAACCAACGCAGTAAAAACCTTGTGCTACTTACACTTTCAAATGGCAATCAAAACTCCGTTGAAGTGCAAAATTTAGCCAAATCTACAAGGATGCCATGTTCTGAACATACATTGTCTCATCATACAAATTCCGAGAAACAAGTAGCACCAGCCAATCTAGATGACCTTACAACAACTACTCCAGAGCAGGATGATACTACTTTAGAGAACCCCAGTAACTCTTCGTCTATTTTATATGCCACTAATGAAACGAATGAACGAAATAATATCGACTTCCCAACAGGTGATTTATCCGGCACTGATTCAGGAGATGAATACAGGCCTGACCCTCGTGCAAGGTCGTCTTCATCCAGTAGCTCCAGAAGCAGTTCCAGCTGTAGCTCCAGTAGTAGTTCCATTGGCAATTCAAGTAGCAGTTCCAGTGATACTCCTGCTGAGAATAATAATTCTAAAAATGAGAGTCTTTTTAACGGGCATAACCAACCAGAGCAACCTATAACTAAACCAAGAGGCAGAAAGCGTACGCGTAATCCAACGACCTGGAAAAAGAGTGTTGCTAAGCGATTAAAAAATTCTGGTCAAACTTATATCTCAGTAAACACCAAAAAACTAAATCAAGGTAGGACAATGGGACCTTCATGTACCTCAAAATGTCGGTTATCCTGTGCTGCAAAATTTACTGAACAAAAAAGGACGGAAATATTTAAGTCTTACTGGAAGTTGGAGAGTGTAGAAAGGCAACGGGGTTTTTTAAACGCTTGTACAAGAACACTAAAATGTGCTTACCCCCGCATAAAGACTAACAAAATGTACGACAGAAAAGAAAACACTGCATATTACTTGCTTAATGAGAATAAAGAGATCCACGTCTGTAAAACTTTTCTGATCAACACTCTGGGTATCACACAACGGATAATACGGACTGTTATCGACGGCAAAGCACGGAATGATGGCTTTACGCCACCTGATCAACGAGAAAAACACGGAAAGCAATGCAAATTGCAACCTGAAGTTATACAAGCAGTAAAGGACCGTATCGAATCAATTCCAAAGGTTGAAAGTCATTATCTCAGGGCTAATACTAGCAGACAATTCATTGATGGGGGCATGGGGCATGGGGCATGGGGGGGATTTGACAGTCGCAGAATTGCACAGAAATTATTCCGAAATTCAGAAGCAACAAAACAAGCCTATTGTAAACTACGACGTCTACTCACTGATTTTCAACCAAGATATTAACATTGGATTTTTCAAACCCAAAAAAGATCGTTGCGATGAGTGTGAAGCATACGAAAATGCCTCTGAAGTAGAAAAGAATAAATTACGTGAAAGCTTCAACTTACACCAGGAAGAAAAAAGCTTAAGTAGACATGAAAAAGACAGGGATATGAAAAGATGTCATGAACCTGATAACAACACATTTGTTTTCACCTATGACTTGCAAGCGGTGTTACCCTGCCCTGTTGGCAAATCAAGCTCGTTTTACTACAAATCAAGACTTAATTGTTATAATTTAACAATATCTAATGCAAACAAACGAGAAACAACCTGTTATTTTTGGCACGAAGGGTTGGGCAATAGAGGAGCCATCGAAATAGGGTCGTGTGTGTATAAATACCTGCAGCAAATTGCATTTGAAAAACCAGGCTTGTTTGCCAAATTTGTATTAGAGATTCACCTAATTAATAGTGGAAGATGACTGTTATTAATTCTTTATACTTATACTTCTTTGCTACTATGATAAATATATTTTTTTAGAATTGCATGATTTCGTATTTTGTTTGTTTTGACATAATTGTCAGGTTAATTGTTTTCTAGTGCCATAACGTCACTTCTGTGGGGGTAGTAATTTTTAAACGTTTATATTTTTTTAATAGTAATTAGTGAGATGTTTGCTTTTACCTTAAAATGAAGTTTAAAGTTGTAGTTTCAATATTATCATTTTATTTCTTTAGTCTAGAAGAACTATATGTTGTAATAGGGTGTTGAATTTTCAAACGCTTCTCCTGAAAAATTACATCATTTGCATAAGCGACGTTATAGCAACGTATGTGCGATATATTGTAGCGAGCGTCGACAGACCAAACGCTCAAGGTCGTTCGCTGGAGGTATCGCCTTAAGGAATACATTTCGTAGCATCATTAAAATTAAACTTATTGCGTGTGCCGCACGATAAACATAATCGGCATTTGGGGTATGCTCTTTTATAAGGGTTTATAATCCTCAATATACAACCGACATGACATTTGCCCCATCGTAACTCTGCTCTCTACATTAGGATAAATTAATTCCATATTCTTTTATGGTATTTAAAATTACAGTTTTAAGTACTGTACTACAAGCGGATACTGCTATAAGCACCAAAAATAATTCGCAGATTTTTATTTCCTTAGGTACATTATCATAATTTTCTGTAATCGAGATGTATTGTAAAATTACAGCAAATTGTTCAATTTTTGACGGGTTTTTTTTGCCGGGTTGGTTGCCGGGAAGTACGGCATAAGAGTTTGAATGAGATTGTGGATAACATTTTACGAATTTTTGCTTACACACGTTCCAGGCACCTGTAGCCCTGGAGCCTCGTATCATTGATACGGCGGTAGCTATGCCCGTGACCACAATATACCAGGCGGTCCCATAATGAACTGGCCTGATATAGTTCAACGCGACATGTCGCTACATGTTGTGTTGCATTAAATAGTACGTTTATCGTGCACTTAATATAAGAAACATGCATCGACATGAAATGCTTAGTCTTAGTTTAACAGGCATTTGAATAACGAGAGTCGCGTATTTTTTCAAAATGTCGAAAACTGAGTATCGAAGTGTCATAAAATTTCTGTTTAAAGAAGTTTTATCCCCTGCCCAAATAAAAGAACGATTGGATGGCGTGTATAAGGAGTCTGCCCCCTCCTATAGCACAGTGAAAAATTGGGTGAAAGAGTTTCGCCTCGGGAGAGAAACCGTCGAAGACTTTGGCCACGACGGTCGACCTGTGGAAGTGCTCACTCCCGAAACGATTGATCTTATCGAAGAGGAGGTTCTGAGTGACCGTCGTTGGAAGATTAGAGAAATTGCAGCAAGGCTTGGGCTCTCTAAGAGTACCATTTATCGCGCGATCCATGAACATCTTCACATGAAAAAAGTGAGTGCAAGATGGGTACCGAAACTTCTTTCAGCGGTACAGAGACAGGAAAGAGTGCGCTGCGCTTCGGAGTTTTTGGATCTTTGTGGCGAAAATCCAAAGACTGTGATCGAGCGGCTAGTGACTGGTGATGAAACTATGATCTTGTATCATGATCCACAAAGCAAGCGCGAGTCAATGGAATGGCGTTATAAGGGTGAAAAGCCCCTTAGAAAGGCAAAGGTGCAACAACCGACTAAAAAACTGATGTGCACAATATTTTGGAATTTTCAAGGCATTTTGATGATGGATTTTAAAGAACGTAATACAGTCGTGAACGGCGAATATTTTGCTTCTTTAATATATAAATTACGAGACAAGATAAAGAAAAAACGAAGAGGCAAGCTGTCTAAAGGTGTCCTGTTGCTCCATGACAACGCCCCTGTTCATACCGCTGGTGTTTCGAAGGATGCAGTTCGTCAATGCGGGTTCACAGAAGTTCAACATCCACCTTACAGTCCAGACATGGCCCCGTCCAACTATTATTTATTTCCAAATTTAAAGCGGGACTTAAGAGGAAGAAAATTTTCAAGCGATGAAGAGTTGCAGGCGGCCGTCTTCAGTCATTTTGAGGATAAAAAATGTGATTATTTTTATAAAGGTTTAGAGATGTTGATTCACAGATGTAAGAAGTGTGTTAGTATTCATGGTGATTATATTGAAAAATAAAATTAGTTTCGTTTCATTTCCTTCATTGGTTCATAGTTAGGCCAATTCATAATGGGACCGCCTACGTAGTTCTAGCACGGCTCTATCGCGTATACAATCTGCCCTGATATAAAGCAAGTGCCCTGTTGTGAGACATACATGCTATTACTTATTTTACGCACATACTACGCCTCTAGATCTTTTTGACTTACCGGTAGGGAGCCACGGAGTGGGCGCCATGACAAATTCAATTAATGATAAACTGAATTGTTGCAATTGTACAAAGCAGTATTAGTTTCCTTTTTGATAGTCAATATAATCCATTATAGCCTACAAAATCCACTGCTTAACGCGGTAGAGCCACGCTGCAGCTATATTATAGTTGTAGCATAAATCGGTCGGCTCGACCGGGACAGGACCACGCTCTCACAGAATACCAGCGTAAAATAGCAGTGTAATGCTGCTGTGTTTCATATGGTGAGTGTAGTCTTTTTGGTCTCTTGATCGTAACGCACTACGCTGCGGTATGCGGCATGCAGTGCCAGACACATAATCGTATGAAAAACGTTTAGAATGGTCTCTTGTTCCGCTGCAGTATGCGTCGGCGGCGAATGACAAGCGCGGTGAAGTGGGGAGCGGGTACTCCATACTGCGTGGCGTCGTTCTCGTTATAGAATTAATGCTTCTTTGTCTTTTTTTATAGAAGAGGGGGCAAACGCGGCTCACCTGATAACGACTTATAGACACAAATTTGTCCCGGTACTCGGAGACGTTTTCCCGAGAAATATTGGCACGGCCGGTGTACGGTGCTGAATGTTACGGGCTTGCAACATATCATTGATATGCAGAAGAAACAGCGTTGGCGATAGCACGCAGCCTTGTGGAACACCAGCATTAATAGGCTTGTAATCGGAGCTTGCACCGTCTACAACGACCTTGATGCTCCGATCTGCAAGCAAGCTGGTGATCCAATCGCACAATTTCTCGGGAAGCCCATAGGAAAGGAGCTTCGAAAGAAACGCTTTGTGCCAAACCCGATCGAAAGCCTTCGCAATGTCCAAACGGCCAATGCCTCCCCCTTGGACTCTACTGCCTCCGTCCATCTATGAGTTAGGTAGACCAGAAGATCACCAGCTGATCGACCACGGCGAAAACCGTATTGGCGGTCACTAATCAGCTGGTGATCCTCAAGGTACCTCATGAGCTGGCAGTTAACAATAGACTCCATTGTTTTGGAGAACAAGGAGGTGATGGCGATAGGCCGGTAGTTGGACGGGTTTGAGCGGTCGCCTTTTTTAGGGATAGGGTGGACGAAAGCCGTCTTCCATGATTTTGGGACTACGCCTAGGGAGTAGGAGTACCGGAAAAGACGCGTTAAAACCGGTGCCAATTCTGGAGCACAAGTCCTCAGCACAATTGGGGGGATTCCGTCAGGCCCACTCGACTTGTGGATGTCCAGGGAGAGGAGTGCTTTGCGAACCGAGCGCTGTGTGATCTGCCCTTCCGGCATGGAGCACTCACACCGCGGGATGGTCGGCGGCGTACTCCCCCCGTCATCGAGAGTCGAGTTGGACGCAAAGAAAGAGCCTAGCAGATCGGCTTTCTCCTTTGCGGTATGGGCCAGTGAGTCGTCTTCCCTGTGCAGAGATGGCTGATAGAAATTGCCCTGGACAGCCTTGGTGAGAGACCAGAATGCCCCGTGCATTCTGGTCTCCAGAAGGACCTAGAGGCGGAATTATACTTCTTTTTTAGAACTCTGGTGTTTACATCCCGAGACGTTGATGCGTCTTTTTGTAAAATCTTGTAATTTAATTTAAAATTCGTAAAAACTAGTTTTATTTCAATATGTAGTGTTCACGTAAACATTTTCGTGACACTAAACTCACAGGCTAGAAGTGTAAATAAGGATCCTTACTAGCATTATATACGGAGCTCGCTCACTATTTAGACTATCGAAATCTTAATTTAGTATAACTTTATTCTTGGCACTACGCCCTAAACGAATCATTTTTGCTACAATACGTGACGTTGTGTAGTAAAATATCACAAGCAGACAAGGACTAAAAGAATACAATTTTATTTTTGCTCTTGCATAATTAAAGAGTTGTTTACAGCAACGTAGAAATAGTCACGTGAGTCAGCGTTATTTTTACATAGGAACATGGAGTACAGATGGATAAAAATATCTTCTACTATGTTAGTAATTGAAAAGATCGACATCTACACACCCAAAAAGATAAGCAAAAATAAAATAAAACAATAGAGTACATATAAAAATATTTTATTAAAAACATTTTGGTAACATTTAATAAGAACACTTAGGTAAAAATAAATCGACCTCAAAATGATTTCAAAAGAACAGCCTGGACTGGAAGTTCACGGAGGAAGCCGGAACAGCAAAAACTAAAATAAATAAAAACAATGATAACACTCTAGGCAGACATGTCTAATTGACAACCAGAATTAAGGCATCGCAAGAATAATTATTTAAGTACGATAAAATACCTACGGCTATTATTATAATTACAACAAATAAACGCCTAGTGTCTATCGTTCAGTTGTTTGCGCGCGGGCGGAGCGCGCGGCCCTGTACACAGTCTCTTGGCAGGGAACTTACTTCGAGTATTATTGCCACTAACATTATTTCACTTCACTCACGAGACATTTTGCTTGCCACTACGCCGTAAATATACACTACTAAATACTAAAACATCCCAATTATACGAAGCTATGTTAAAATTTTACCTAACTAATAATAATATTAACATCTTCGGCTAATTTTGATACTAGAATGATATAACATCATCTCATATTGTACTCTTAACATTACGCTGGATTAAATAATAAAATGAGGAATTAAACATGTTATACATAATATTGCAAGCATTACTGAGATTGTGCACATTACGTGAATTCATTAAGTAAAATTTGAAAACTTAAGCGTTAAGGAAGAATAGATTGCTTATACTGAAGTCGACAAGAATGGAGGGAGCTCGACTCCAGAGAGCCTGGCTCTTACAAACGGCTATATTAAAGGAACAGTCATAGATTAAATTACGAGCATTGGCACTTTCAATATTAAATCTTAATTACACTCTCGAAATAGCACTGCATATTAATAACCAACTTAAAAACTAAATTCAGATCAGTCATTTATGATATCACATCAAAATAAACAGGGAAATACATAATGTGATTATCGATTGGATATACTATACAATATATATTATATTCTTTTCAAAAGAGGTATTAATTTTCTTAAGGGTTACTAAAATATTGAGCTGCGCCGAGCGCGACGCACTATATCACCATAATACGAGAACAACATTGAACCAAATAAGTTTTGGTACTTGGAGTTTGTCTCCGAGTTAATTCTATTTCGCTAAACCTACATAATGCTTATCAGATATACATAATACACACTGGGCCCGCGCCCGCTTACACCGCCGCGGCGTACCTCGACGGTTTCAGCGGCCACAAGGCCTAGGCAAAAACCCTTCATCCTTATACAATTTTCGTTACAAAAATACTGTCATTTGACTACAGTTCAATGAGAAAAAATATTTATTATAAATGTTAATGAACAATAGATATAATACAACATATATTAATTAGGTATAATATCAGTAAAAATGATTTGACTAAACAAAATAAAATGCATAAAATTGAAATGATTAAAACATTATAAAATTACTTAGACACTTAGTAATTGGAAGGTACTAAATTGATTATTTCGGAAAAAATTCATTCAATTAAATAAATAGCACAACAACCAAAATATTTGGCAATGTGGATTTAAAATAACATTAACAACTACTATCCTCCTCTGCTAACTTAAACACAAAACTGGAATGCAAATATTGCATCGCACCTCGGCCTCTAGTTCGCACAGGCAGAGGCGGCCGACAGTCGGCCGCGGTCACAGGGGCAGACTAATAGGGACATGTTCACAACAAGAGCTACCTTATAAAACTGTGCGTATCACTCCAAATACTTCCTTTTGAACTACATTCGATCGAAAATTTGTTATATATTAAAGTTAAAAACTAAAAATAATCTGAATGCAACATTGGATTTTTAATAACCATAACAACCATTTTGTGAGTTTGTGTGACTGAGGATATAGCACACTATGTATGCAAAGACACTTCTAAACATATATCAATTGCTAAGTTTAGAAGAAAATTCCTCTTTTTGAGGCAACAATGGTTAGGGATAGTTGCAATGTATTAATCTTAGCTGCATTCTGAGATCCATGCTATATGTTCAGTCATGACCCACTGAAACACTAATAAATATATAAATAATTTTTGTAAAATATTAAATTCATCTAATTGTTATGAGTTAACTATTATGTTCATAGCCAAGTGTATTGATTTTTGACAAAACAGAAACTACAATGAAAACTCAGATAAAATGCAAAATAAATTTAGACCATAATAGGGAAACTGTTATGAAGCTGAATTTTTCTACTGAAAATGATTACAACCGAAATTGATAAAATCAATGAATGGATGTTGGTCCCTTCCAAATTTGCCAAACCTTTAGCGAAGTCCATATCAATATAAAGAAAGTTTTGAAAACTACACTGTATTGTCACATATCAACATTTTTTATAAAAATAACTTTATGGGAAATATGTCAACATTGTGTACAAATACTCCAGTTCCAATTTAAAGCTGATCACAACATAGCAGAACTAAAGTTGCACAAAAGGACAGTATCAATTATTATTATTATAGTTAGTATGTTATACATTACTTACACGTAATTGAAGAGACTCACACTATTAAATATCTTGACTAAATTAAGAGACCATGGATATTACACTTTAAATATGCATGTACATAGAGATATTGCCAGTCTGTCAACGACACTTACTATAATTTCACTAGAAGCCCAGTATCTGGGCACATCAATGACTCGAACGTTTTAAAACGGTCCGTAACAACTACTAATACCTTAGAATATCTAATCACTGCAATAATTTGTGATGATATGCACTGATTACCCACTTTTACTATGTTATGCATGGGCTTGTCACATAAATAAAATGAGTTATTTAAGCTTTTCATAGAGTTGATAGGAATTTGATTTTTTGGGCAATGTATCAAGATCATACTCTAAATTATGTCATCACTATTATTATGTAATGCTCGGACGGTAAATCCAACGATCATGATAATTAGACCTTAAAGTTAAACTATAGCTTGGCTTTAAATTCGTGCCATCTCGTCCAAATCATAACTTATTATAACATCCGAGAAGCAGCCTTTTGGTTTAAACAATGACGATCCTATTGATAATGACTGTGGAATATATAAAAATCATTATATCTAGAGCCTAATTATTATTATAAAACAATATTTAAATAATAACTATTACACTTAATGGTGGGAAATATTAACTCATGATGATTAAATAAGTAAATGTCCATAATTTAAATATTGCTTTAAACTTATTTCGGCACAAAATCCAATGATTGAAGTGATCAACCAATTGAATTTTATACTAATTCATATAAATTGTGTAGATCAACAATTTATAGATAATATAATATGAATATTAAAACAAATAGATTCTTTGGATAACAAATCATTAACAATTCTAAAAGGAACTAAGTGTAGCATTATATATTAATGATGATTTTGTTTTTATAATAATTATTGTTATATCAATGGAAGAGTAAGTTTCAAGTAAGATTTATCCAGTCGTTTTGGAAGGAAAATGCCAAATTCTAGTTAACTGTAATATTATGGCATTGTTTGTATAATATATTAATTAAGCCTAACTGTATCACACAATCAAATAAGTTAAAACAAAAACGAAATTAATTTTATCATCACACATTTCACAGATTTTTTTTCTAAAATTGCCTTGTTTAAATTAAGATCACAGTATTAAGTCACGTTCAAAATGTAACTCTACGAAATATGTGAGACGATAACCACAATAATATTCCACAGTCATCTGTATTACTGGGCCACAACAGTGAAGCACATAGACAGTAATTGTTTTAGAAAAAAAGTCACTAAATCAACAACTTAGATCCATGAGAAGGAACTGTAATGATTTGGTCAAATTATTAGTTTAATATTAATTAAACTATATCCTAAGTAAAGCAATAACTACTAAGTGAAATACAAAAATTCCATAATTAGGAAATATTATTATCTTATCATTTTTAAGTAAAATGATGTCATTAAAAGAACTAGTCGTTGATTTACTGAATGTGTATGTCATTCTAAGCACCATTATATTACTGACGATAGTAGTCTAAATGCACCCTGCTGTGTCCCAGTCATGCCCATACAACATTCGTTTGTTCAGTTTATGCTGACACATGGTCACGTCAATCTGTGGCGGCCACAACCCATGTGAAGCCACATAAACGGCAAGTGTCTTTTACATACTGTGTGCGTGTTCCAAATGGCCCCAGTCGATGATACTGCGAACGGTTGGCAAAGAAAAGCGCAGGGTTATTTGGTGGCAGCACTGTAGCACGGTAATTCCATCGAGGATCAGTGAGATTAGCCATCAGGTTGAGAACATCACGTTGTTCATATTTTACTTTGACATCATCAACTTTCTGCTCTTTTGGACGTGGTTGAGGTTGCAAAAAGGGTTCAAATACTTTCTGAAATAATAAATGATTTATGATATCATAAAATGAAAACTAGTGTAATGATAAACATATTTTATATTGTAACAGACGTATAGTATTTAGATAAAATTTAGTAACCTCAGTAACAATGTTAATCTAAAATATCTCGTAAAATATGATCGTAAATAGGTATCGCTCATTTTTATTAATGTCATCCCATATTGAATTATAATAATTAACACAATTCAGACCTAGCCTATTGTCTGCGAAATCTTTCCATTATCAAATGTCATAATTTGTACACAATATTGTTAACGTAAGACATTCGCCATTACAGAGTATTATGAAAATAGGGAGGTCAAGGCCAAGACAAATGCAAACAAAATAGGCAAAATAAGGATTATGCTCACCTTCTCTGTTGTTTGAGGACTAGAGGGTAAGGAGTCGCTATTGACCGACTCCGATTTGAGCGAGGCCAGCGAACCAATACCGCTAGATTCACTAGAGACAGATGGACTCGGACTTGTCTGCGATTGAGACAGGCCCGCTATGTCTATGAACGAGCTGAACGAATTAAAATTCCCTGTCTCCAATCCAGTTAGAGGTAGTGCAACACTCAGAGCCATTTCTGCAAATGGAAAACCACAAATGTACTGTAATTACACGTGCATAAACGCCACTCAGTGTGAATAATTTTTAGCTATGTTGACAGTATCCAACGCGCCAAATTATTCCCGATCTTGGACACACAAAATATATACCACTCACCTTTGACTAGAATAGGAATTAAAATTTCCTTAACTACACTGTTTAACAATGTATAAAACGATAATTACCGAAAAGCGTAATCTCCAAAAAGTGCAAGCCTCGACGTAGTTAAAAGAGATCGAACATTTATGAAGTGAAGTTAGCTACATTAGTTCGAGTTTGCGTGTGCGTGATGTCTTCTAGCGGCAAGCGGAAATAGGTCAATGTCGGTAAAACAGTCTATTACGCAGCAAACAAAGAGGAGGTGGAAGAGGTCTAAATAATTACATTTGAATATTTTAGATGGACGTGTTATCCAATTTTATATTTCATTTTGATAAAATAGAATTATATTTAGTAAAAATGTGTTGACTTTCGTATAATGTAATTTGCTGCGGCTGTTAGCGCCATCTATCAAAATGTGTTGGTAGTGATATTTTACATTTGTAAAATAAAGCTGCCTACGCGGTATTATAGATGGCAGCATTTCACCGTGATCCTTTTGATGAATCCTAGATGGCGCTTATAAACACCCACATTTTCTTGGCTGTAGAGCGCAGCTCCCCTTGGTCTTCTGAACCTCTGAGTATTAAATGTTGTAGATTATAGTTTTCGTTTCGTCTCTTTTTCGAATAGTTGTATTTCGGATAGCATTTAGAAATTAAAAATAATTCCTACGGTTTCTCGAACAACAAGGGATTAAAATACGCTTGCATCTAGTTTTAAAATATTATATTCGCAAGAGCCGTATTTAATTTTAATATTATGCGAACAAGCCGATTTCAATGGTGCCGGTCACTTACAGATATACCTAGATTTGTATCTATGGCTGTGGTATTGGCAACTGAACGCCAGCCAATGCCAGCAAAACTGAAATTGTTTATGGTACCTACCTACCTAAGAGGATTGAAAGAACTGATGTATGTAATAGAATAGCATGGCGTAATATTACTCATTTTATAATATTCGTAAAAATGTGAAGTTTATGTAGATATGTGATATCTTAAATATATTTAAGCGTTATTGGTGCGTCTGTAGTGATCGTGTAACTTCTAACTTAAGAATTCTGAACTACCTGACATTTGCGTTTTCACAGTTAAGTTATGATCCGATAGATGACGCTGTAATTAAGTTATTAACAAATTCCATTGATAAGGATCAAAATAACTCATATTCACAATAAGTGACTAAACTGGTGGTGCAATATCTTAAATTATCAATAATATGAGTTATATAATTTTTGACATAATGTCTCTACAAGTTTGCAGAGGCGTGCTACCCCGCGTAGGTACTGCCACCAGAGTTACATTATCTCTGCATCAATAATAAAAATAAGTTCAAATAAATCATAGGTATGTTTGGTAATATTACACTTAGCTATCTAAAATCATAATCTTCATTTTTATTAATAAATGCTTTGTTGATCTTGAAGATTTCGAACGTATATCTTGGTATTTTTTTTTAATTTGGTGTTTCTTAAATACTTGCTCAGCGGATATTAAGGCTTACTAAATTTCACCATACCTACTGTTTTTCTTGTATAGTATTTTTTGTTTAATAATGTATTTTATAGCACTTTTAAAATGTTATAAATGCAAATAAACCGTACGCTTTTATTATTAAACTAATGTCGCTGACGGAAAACGACTTGATTTCAGCTTTCCAAACAATGCAAAATGTGTTGATGAATTAGAATGCTTTGACCTTAGAGACTTTTAAATTATGATTAAATTATTGGTAATGCTATCTGGGACCGTTTCGGATTGCGATTTGATGATTGTGGGGAGTAGAGAGAGCTCCTGTGCTTGTACATTCGAACACTACAATTCTGTATCGAGCAGATAGCCTCCGATGAGGCTGGTCGCTATGACAGAAATTCGGTTGGGAGGGCTCAACCAAACAATTAATACAATAGTCAACTCAACTTGTGACACTAACTACCGACGCACTGATGATAATCACGAGGAGTGCGTTTGTATGTCATCATTATACTAATGACTTTGTTGTTCATCATTATGCTATGACTTTAAAGCATTTTTTTTTTAGAATTTTAAGTCTTAGTCGCAAGCTATTCCTTATTACCCACAGGTACCTTAGTCGTTGGTGCGTTCTTCACAGTTGGACGTACGAGGAAGCATGGGGTCGCTTAGCGAGTTATGGAGAGCAAGCTATGCTCGAAGTTTCTCTCCGTGATACATAAACATAATACATAAACACTCACGCCTGTCACCCAGAGGGGTAGGCAGAGACTACAGACTTCCATTTGGCACAATCCTGACACACCTCTCTCGCCTCCTTCACATCCATACACCTACGCATGCATGCTCGTCGGTTAAGGGTACTCCTAATTTGGCCCGTTTTCAATAAATCGCCAATTTGGTCGATAAATTTTCGCCTAGGACGTCCCTTTCCGACTCTGCCATTCACTTCTGCAACATAAATTTTCTTTGTCACTCTTTCCTCATCCATTCTTTCCACATGACCAAACCACCGAAGCATTCCTTTCTTAATCCTGGTCACAACATCATCTTGCAAACCACACTCTTCTCTTATCACACAATTTTTCACCCTGTCATTCAGATTCAGCCCTAACATACTCCTTAACGACCGCATTTCTACTGCATTTATTCTACTCTCGTGCTTCTTCTGCCACACCCAACTTTCACTACCATACGTTAAAGTAAGGACCAACACAGCATTGTGAATTGCCATACGTGCCTTTTTCGACACATTTTGACTCTTCACAATAGAGTGCAGGGCTCCATTTACTCTGTTTCCTGCGTTCACTCGTCGTTCTATATCCTTATCATATCTCCCATCCCTGCTAAATACGCAACCCAAATATACAAACTCATCTACTTGCTCGATCAACTCCCCTTCTATTCTTATTTCACATCTCTCCGTGATAAAAATCTTTATACAGCTATCAGCAGTAGAACTAGAGTAACCGACATAGAACAACAGATCAGTAAGCTGAAGTGGCAACGGGTCGGCCATATAAACTAACCCATTTGTCATAAAGCTGGAAGAACCGACCACCGAAGCGGGAGAAAGGTTCTCGAATGGCAGCCTCGTATCCGGAAGTAAAAAGTTGGATGGCCTCCAAATAGCCGGAGTGAAGATCTGATAATACATGTTTGTACAAGTTTTGTTGCATTCCTTACTGGGCAAGAGGCGTTTTATCTTAGTCCGCAAGAGTAGTATTAGCAAGAACATTTTGATTCTTAATCGAGGATAGATGTGGAGATGTCTATGAGCCGCAGCATCTACTTACCATCGGTCTCCTGTTTAATATAGTCATCGGGAAAATAAAATGGCCACGTACGGGAAATGACAATATCTATTTACTAGCGTTAAATTAGTGTGACAGTACTGTGATGTGGTTCGTAGGAATGGTGGGTATGGTGATTTATCAGTGCCGTATTATATGTTAATACCTAACAGAAATAATGTGTTTTTGATAAACAAAAAAGAGTTTGGTACCTACTGTCAATACCTATACGTCCCACAGGTGGGAACAGGCCTCTTTCGATTTCCGGAGGCTTAAGCGCTTATTACATTATACAATTTTTAGGAAATCTAATTAGGAAATAGGAAGGTGTAATCGTAGTTAGAACAGTTAGGATCCGATTTAGTCAAATTGGAGGTCCCAATCGCTCTATTTCCTAAATTGTTTTTTAATATTAATTGTACAATTTAGGACAGTGTAATCGCAATGTTACGATTTAGAACAACCAGTCGGCACCCGCGCTTTGATACAAGCGGATGTCTTGAGAAGTTTTGATAGAAGTATGATATCAGGGAGCAGTACTTTAAATCTTAATATTAATTTCCGGTGGCTATAAAACGTAATGTCACCATCAAACATTCTTTGGTACTCACACTTTATCGAAATATCGTGACTTCTTTTTCAATATGTTTGGATACCAAACTTAACAAATAATCAAACTGTTTTATAGGTGGTAGAGCCATGCTGCAGTTATATTATTAGTATAGTTGTAGCACGAATGGGTCGGCTCGAGCGAGGAAGCACCACGCTCTCACAGAATACCAGCGTAAAATAGTAGCTTAATGTTGCTGTGTTTCGTATGGCGAGTGTAGAGAACAGGAGACCCTTTTTACTGGAAACGAGGCATTCCATCTTAGTCGTCACAGGTGACAACGCATCTGCATTTTGATTTGTAATCGGAGGTAGATGTAGATGTCCATAGGCCGCAGCAACCACTTACCATCAGATGGACTGTGTGCTAGTTTGTCACCCTATCCTATAAAAAAAACTGCTTAGAATCTAAAAATATATAATTATATTCATATTGGACAGTTGTTTCTCAATGACAAGTACTCTTTTCTCTTTTTTTAATATCCATTGTTCCCACCATGGCTAAGGCAAGTGGACTTGCCTTAGCCATGCCTTTTCTGCTGTTTTGATAAATACGGCGCCATCGATCAAACATGCAACCCCGTCGATACTTCTTTACGAATGCGCTTCGTCACGATTTAGAAATCAATTTAGTGTAATGTGATCACTAGCTTTCAATTTAGGTTCCTAATTAGATTTTCTAAAAATTGTATAATGTAATAAGCGCAATTATGGCGCAATTATTCTGATGCGCTAGTCCAGTTTTTTCATTATAGAATAAGGGTGACAAACGAGCACACAGACCACTTGATGGTAAGGGGATGCTGTGGCCCATAGACATCTACATTTACCTTCAATTAGGAATCAAAACGCAGATGCGCAGAGCTAAGATGGAATGCCTCGTTTCCAGTATAAAAGGGTCTCCGAATCTCAACACTCACCATACGAAACACAGCAGCATTAAGCTGCTATTTACGCTGGTATTCTGTGAGAGCGTGGTCCTTCCCCGGTCGAGCCGACCCATTCGTGCTACAGCCATAATATAGCTGCAGCGTGGCTCTACCACGTATAAATTTATACCGTGTAGGGGCGGTGTAATAATATCTTCTGTTACATATTATCTTGTGAGTGTCGTAAGAGGAGACTGAGGGAAACAAATCAGGATATGGGCAAAACTGTGGCACTCAAGCCACGTGGCAACTATGGCAAATATCCCCCCTATGAGGCAATCTATGGGGGAGGCATTTGTTCGGCAGTGAACTTTAATAAATTGTAACGGTAACGGCTTGTCCAGTGTTTCAACATGTAGGTGTTCTCACAATGTTTTCCTTCATCGGTGTGCAGGTGACATCTTAAAACAATGAACAATTTCACTAGTGCCGGCGGGATTGAACCCGGATTGCACGTGTATTGTATGACAAACTTTAACTTGATTCTGTATAGTGTTTGAGTCACCACTCTTAATCTACAGACAACAGGCTGATTATCATCATGTGGGAAGTATGCTTTTCGTCTTCTTCAATCCGTAAAAGCCAATTGATGCAGTTGTGACACTTTTACTAATTACAGGGAAGACTAATCCACCCGCCCCTTATCACCACGCTTGCCAGGAGTATAGACTGAGGCCGTTTCCCGTTGCTGGTCAAGTTTTTTTTCGTCTGTCATTCATGAGGCGACGAAGAAGCAAAGAATATGGATTAATCATATATCCAGATTGTGAGGTGGTTATACCACTACCTGTCGGAAACCATGAAATCTTTTGGAATTTCCCATAGTTTTCCGACACCAACGGAGCGAAAAGGATTTTTCTTACGTCGCCATCACATGGCACTTGCTCTTCGTTATTCTATTCAAGTTCGGTTTGAAACCGAAGTATCGAAAGGTTTGCCTATCATTTACAAATTTTTTTTTAATAATATTTATCATACGTAGGTATATTTTCATAACTAGAAAATTATAAAAACTAAGATAATTTATTAAAAATTAGCACTAAATTTGCACCTATATACTTACCTACTTATTAAGGCCGTAACGTACTAACGACTGAGCGTGGGTTTCTAAAGAATTTGTTGTTATGGTTGTATCCGGCAGGCGATATCGTAATAACTGTTGGTAGCCAGACGTCTTGCAATGACTTGAATTTCGTTATCCATTTGCGCACTACTTTTTTATAGCACACAGTCCGTCTTATGGTGGACACTGAAAGCCATAAATATCTAAGATAGGATAACGATGAGATAACGCCTCGTAAGATGTAACGCCTCGTTTCCAGTAAAAAGAGTTTTCGGTTCTTTACACTCACCATACGAAACATAGCAGCATTAAGTTGCTATTTTACGCTTGTATTCTGTGAGAGCGTATTCCTACTCGGCTCGAGCCGATCCATTCGTGCTACAGTCACAATATAGCTGCAGCTTGGCTCTACCACGTCGAAAAATACTATGGAAACATGACATATTAACAAAGAGTCATCCATGCTGTCTAAAACACAACTTCCTATATTTAATATGTCGCACGCACGCAGTCATTTACACATTTTTGTACACCTTGACCGCGAAACGACAGAGGCTTTGCTGTCGACTTGAAAAGGTCGCGACTACTTTTGATTTACTGAAAAAACTAAATATAATTATTTCTTATTTTAACTTTGCTTACAAATCGTCAGTTGTTTTACACCTACCTACATTTAATGTGAGATCGGATGATGAATAGCTTTATAGTGGAAGACTGTGGCAACGTGGACACTGTAGAGCTCTTGATGACACTGAACATGACATGCCATTATCAGTGTAGCTGTGAAAGAGCACGTAGGGGGCACGGCCGCCCTTCGAGTGCCCCCCGGAAATGTACAGATGGTGAAATATCTAGGCCAATAACGATGAACTAAAATTTTAGGTAATGGTAAGTAAGTTACTAAAAGCTTATAAAACCTTAATAATGCTGCAAATGCTAATCCGGTAGAGTCGTGTTGACATTTTTATATTGTATATTTTATTGGGTAAAAGTCTAAAAATATAATAATTAAGAAAATAAACAGGTATTGTAATTACATTTTAAAATATTTACATGTTGTGTCATGTTTAGTTTAAACGGATATTTATTTGTATCACTTTAATAAAGTTTAATTATAACAACATTCAGTAATATCTATACCAACCAATATTATAAAATTAACCGAAATACGCGTGGATCCGACTGAATAAAAAGTTACACCTACAATGATCTTAATGCTTACCAACATCAAAATATTTCGAATTATATCCGTCCATCTCTTTATCTACGGTCTACCAAAAGTCCACAACTGAACTTAGGTCTATCTCATGGGGGGGGGGGGGGATATTTTCAATAATTGGCACGCTTGGCATGCATGTTGCAACCTCAGTTTTTTTTTAAATTATTTTAAGTTATTATTAGAAAGTTTATCCCGTGTTTCGTTTTCCTCCGTCATTTATTACGATACCTACGGAATGATATAGGCTAGTTACGATCTTACGATGCCACAATACCGTGACTTATTATAAAAAATAAATAAAATGTACTGGAACAAGAAAGGTCTAATACATACTATGTTAAGATATGTAATAAATGGGTTACTTTATAACCATTCTTATTTAAGAGAAATTATTCGGGAATGTTTGAAAGCTTAGATCCTGGGAGCTTAGTCTGCGCCGCTACCAGCCCGAACCATCGCATCGCGGCGGTCTCGATTCGCATCCACATAATTTGTAAATCTTATATTGCCACTTAGAGCGTTCGTTCAATAAAATAATAATAGTAAACATCCGTGCAAATGGCCGGCGGGCGGCGCCCGAGCGGCGGGGGCGCGGGGCCATGGGAAGGAGGGGGGGAGCGCTTATCGATTCGCGCCCGCGCGACACACTGTATCTATCCTCTCATCGATGCCCGCTCGCTGGCCTCACAAAGAAAGAGATAGGTTTCGCCGACTTTGATCCTTTTGTTTTTGGGCAGCGTCCGGCGATGCGGGCGGGGGCTGAAAAATGTGAAGGGGCGCTGATTGGCCGCGCCTGGTCCGCCCCGCGCCCGCCCGCAGCCTCCGCGAAAGCCTCCGAGAGCGCTCAGTTCAAGGGCGGTTGTGACGCCGTGCGCAGACTTGTTTGGTTTCCCTTCTGTTTATAATGGGGGAACAATTGCATCAATTGGTAGCCGATTACAGTGATCAATGAGCAGATTATGCGCAGCCTAAACGGCTGAAATATGCTAAGTTAATTTTTTTTACAGAAAATTATTCGGATGCCGAATAAGTAATAAGCGATTAGCGTTTTATGTATAAAGCTACCATTATATTTTATATAAACTATAATCAATCTTATTAAAAGAGAAAATCATCATATTTAATCTTGCAAATAAAAATGAAAAACACGTTTTTGTCCCTCTAAATTAAGTTACACGTATACATACATTTTAGAGAAATATTAGTTGATTAAGATTCTGTTTTCATAACTAAACTTTCCGTAATTACGAGTATTAGTTACATTCCATAAACTCGTTCCCCAACAATAAAGTTTAAGAGCCGCTAAGCTCGCCGCAGTACAAATGCACGCACGATTTAAGCTCTAATGTACGAATACAGTTAGAACGGTGTCAGAGGCCGTTTGTTCGCGCAGTTACCTATCACTTCCTCTAACTCTAAACACATGCTCTATTTGTTATGTAGTGAGTCTAATTTAGATTGAAGTACAGTTTCGAAATTATGTATTCTCATTTTTTATTTATTTAAAGTACCTAGTATCTATAATTTAGATTTAAAATGATTTTAAAATTAAATGCAAAATAATTTGTAAAAATAATCAACTTTTTTCAAATTCATATTCAAACTTTTTTACGTTATTTTTCAATTCACATTCAAGCTTTTTTAATAATTAAAGTATGGTATCGTTGAGAAATCGTGTAGTTTTTTTATAGAGGGGGTATATAAGAGGGGGCAAACGAGCATGCGGCTCACCTGATGTTAAGTGACTACCGCCGCCCATGATCAACCGCAACACCAGGGGAATTGCAGGTGCGTTGCCGGCCCTATAGAAAGGAGTACACTCTTTTCTTGAAGGTCCCCAGGTCGTATCGGTCCGGAAAAATCGCTGGTGGTAAACTATTCCACAGAGGTTGTACGCGGAAGAAAACTCCTCTTGAAACGTACAGTGGTGGACCGCCAAGCATCCAGATGGTGTGGATGGTATCGGGACGTTTGCCGCGTAGTGCGTTCACGAAATTTGGCGGCTGGGATTAATCCGAACAATTCCTCAGAGCACTCTCCATGGTATATGCGAAAGAAAATACAAAGAGATGCAACATCTCTTCGCAGTGCCAGTGAATCGAGCCGATCGGAAAGCACTCAGTCGTCGACGATTCCAGCCGCTCTGCGCTGGATGCCTTCAAGTGGAAGGAGCTGGTACTGGGGAGCCCCAGCCCAGAAATGGGAACAGTATTCCATGTGCGGCCGAACCTGTGCCTTGTAAAGTTGCAGGCGGTGTGCCGGCATGAAATACTGTCCCGCTCTGCTGAGCACGCCAAGCTTTTTAGAGGCCAATTTGGCCTTCTCTTCCAAGTGACCACGAAACTGCACGTCACTCGATATGTCGACGCCGAGGATTCCGATACTGGCTGAGGCAACAAGGGGAGTGCCTTGAAACGAGGAGATACGACAAAGGGGTTCTTTTTAGCGGTTAACGCGCAAACTTGTGTCTTCTGTGGGTAACTGGACTAGATTTAGTCGCCCCCAATCCGAGACTCTGTTCAGCAAAGACTCGACTTCAGACACAAGTTTGTCCCGGTACTCGGAGACGTTTTTTCGAGAAATATTGGCTCGGCCGGTGTAAAGAGCATCACCAGTGCTGTCATCTGCATAGCAATGAATGTTACGGGTTTGCAACATATCATTGTTATGCAGAAGAAATATCGTTGGCGATACCACGCAGCCTTGTGGAATACTAGCATTAATACGCTTGCAATCGGAGCTTGCACCGTCTACAACTACCTTGATGCCCCGATCTGCAAGAAAGCTGGTGATCCAATCGCACAATTTCTCGGGAAGCCTATAGGATGGGAGCTTCGAAAGAAGAGCTTTGTGCCAAACCCGATCGATGGCCTTCGCAATGTCCAAATTAACGGCCAATGCCTCCCCCTTGGACTCTACTGCCTCCACCCATCTGTGAGTTAGGTAGACCAGAAGATCACCAGCTGACCGACACCTGCTTTGCGAACCGAGCGCTGTGTGAACTGCACTTCCGCCATGGAGCACTCACACCGCGGGATGGTCGGCGGCGTACTCCCCCCGTCATCGAGAGACGAGTTGGACGCAAAGAAAGAGCCTAGAAGATCGGCTTTCTCCTTTGTGGTGTGGGCCGGTGAGTCGTCTTCCCTGTGCAGAAATGGAAGAGATGCCTGACAGAAATTCCCCTGGACAGCCTTGGCGAGAGACCAGACTGCATGGGTTCCAGAAGGAAGGCGAACTAGTTTCTCGCCAATTCTGCCTATGTGCTCTGACTTTGCCTTGGCAATGACTCTTTTGAAGGACCTAGAGGCGGAATTATACTTCTTTTTTAGAGCGCTGGTGTTTACATCGAGGGGCGCTGATGCATCAGCCCAGGCTTGGTAGCTTGGTAGCACTCCTGCTTATAGCATGATGCTATTTTACAGGAGCGACCAAACCATGGCTGAGATTTGCCTCCAATGGGCACCACAGAGGAAGGAATAAAAAGTTCCATACTCTGAAGTACCACATCAGCGACAGAATCCGCAACAACGTTGGGATCGTCCGGCGAGAAGCAAACCCGCCCCCAAGGGTAGGATGCAAAGAAAGACCGCATCCCATCCCAATCGGCTGACCTATAGTGCCAAACACGGCGGCAGCCTGCAGAATGCAACTGCGATTTCAGCGTGAGTGGCACCACACTCCGAACAAGACAATGGTCCGAGGAGCCTAAAAGGGCGTCGACGGAAATCTGATATCCGTCCGGATGAGAGGTCAGCAGAAGGTCCAACAGGGAAGGTGCATGGTCCTCCACATCTGCAATCCGCGTAGGCGAAGTAACCAGTTGTGTCAGACCATATGCCAAGGAAAAATCATGAGCAGATCTCCCCGCATGATCGGTTAAACGTGAACCAAGCCATTCGGCGTGATGGGCGTTAAAGTCGCCGAGGATCACGATCTCTGCGGAGGGGATCTGCTGTAGCAACGAATCTGTAGCCATTTGTAGTGTTCGCGTAGTTTATATTTTCTTTGGTAGTGGCGATGTAAGAATATTATGCATATTATATAGGTACCTACCAGACAATATCGTCCTGTGTGTTTCGTAAGAGGCGACAGAGAGTAACTGAAACAGGACATGAGCATCAGCATCTTCCTGTAAACAATTCAAAATAACAAAAAGCTGCGATTGCCAACCCGCTAGCCAAGAGTAGCAACTGTGGCAAAATCCCCCCTATGAGGCAATCTATGGAGAAAGCCTATGCTCAACAGTGGTCTTTTATACGATATAATGGATGGATGGATGGATATTATTCTCTATCTTACTTTACTTACTTTTATACGCTATAATGGATGGATGGATGGATATTATTCTCTATCTTACTTTACTTACTTTTAAACTCGTTGGAAAATTTAAATTTTATATAGTAATTATAACTTTAAACAAAATTTAAAAACCGACTTCAAATTGCTAAAAAAGAAGTTATTTATTTGCAACTCTTACGGGAGGAATTTTTTTCTGTATGTTTATATGAAGAATCATCAACATTGGTTCACAATCTGCGAAGATATCGCGTAACGTACCTACATACAGAAAAAAGACACACTCGCATTGAGAACCTCCACCCTTTTAGCTTATCGCGATATATATATATATATATATATATATATATATATATATATATATATATATATATATATATATATATATAATGTCGCTTTCTTAAATAAGTAATGATAACAGAAACAGAAACTTTTTTATTCAATATGGATTATAAATAACACTTATTGAAAGTCACTTTTATTTCATGAGTACCGCTGGTTCGCAAAAAAGAAAACCTCTGTCCCGGGAAGAACTAGCAAGAAACCCAGCGGGACTATTTACTTTTTAAATAACAGCTTACAATCATGTATGTTACAATTAACGAAAACAAAACAAATTAGAAATAGCTTGGTAGCAATCGCCCTACCCAGGGGCTTTTATCATCCACAAATTCCTTAATACTATAATAACCCTTTTTATACAAACTTAGTTTAATAAAGTTTTTGAACTTTGTGTGTATCAAATTTTGTATATTTAAAAGCGTCTACGAGTACATTGCCCCAAGAACGAATTATTGACTGGGTGGAGTAGAGTAACTGGTACTAGTAGGAACTAACGAGGAAACATTTAAACTAATTATTAAATGGATGCTTTAAACCATAGGCACTTAGAGTTTACACCTATTCTTTATTAAGAATCAAAATGGAGAAGCGTTTTCACCCCTGAGAACTATGAACGTAGTTGCCAGGTTGTCTCGGTAAAACAAGTCTTCTAATCTCGTCAATTACTATACGAAGTACAACACTAATATACTGTATTTTATAGTTGTATTCTGTGAAAACGTAATTATTTTTCATTTGGACTTCAGTCACTGCAGTAGGCTTTACCTGCCTCAGACTAAGCCAGCTGGTAAAACAAGTCTTCTAATCTCGTCAATTACTATACGAAGTACAACACTAATATACTGTATTTTATAGTTGTATTTTGTGAAAACGTAATTATTTTTCATTTGGACTTCAGTCACTGCAGTAGGCTTTACCTGCCTCAGACTAAGCCAGCTGGTAAAACAAATCTTCTAATCTCGTCAATTACTATACGAAGTACAACACTAATATACTGTATTTTATAGTTGTATTTTGTGAAAACGTAATTATTTTTCATTTGGACTTCAGTCACTGCAGTAGGCTTTACCTGCCTCAGACTAAGCCAGCTGGTAAAACAAGTCTTCTAATCTCGTCAATTACTATACGAAGTACAACACTAATATACTGTATTTTATAGTTGTATTTTGTGAAAACGTAATTATTTTTCATTTGGACTTCAGTCACTGCAGTAGGCTTTACCTGCCTCAGACTAAGCCAGCTGGTAAAACAAGTCTTCTAATCTCGT